AAGCCCCGCCCCCGAGCTCCCACTCTCAGATGCACGTTCATAATGCCGAGGAAAATAACTCTCAGAATAACGTTATTAGCACATTTTACAACTTGAGGACCGAAGGTTTTTAATAAGGGCTATACAAATGTTCATACTGGGTAGTTTATTTGATTAAAAAAGAAAAAATGTCCAACGATTTACAGACGTCTCTTTCCCCATGTTAGTCAATGGGGAAAAGTCTTTCTGGGCCCAGGGACTGATACGGACTGATACGGAAGTTGCAGTACCGCGGTTTGGACACAACGAATATTTTCCTCAGAGTCCGGCGCACTTCCTGGGGGCTTGGTCTAGACTTGATGCTGTGGCTAGGTAGGACAGCAGCTGGATGTTAGCATTAGCATCAGGAGCTATAGACAGTGTAAACAAGAAAACGTAACAATATAACGTGTCAAAGAATATTTCTGTCTTTACTTTAGATATTTAACCTTTTCTGTGTGTTGACGTTTACGACCAAACCCTGGCTCTGGTATCTCTCTTAAGGAATGGGAGGCTCCAGCTATCTTGATAAACCAGTTCAACTCTCGGTCACAAAATGGTTTACGGCTGTGGGAACGCTGGCTTTCTAAGCTCCACAGATGTTTACGCCTCCCCCAATATGCTCATTAACTCTCTGTAAACTAGTTAAAAGGTCTATCGAGAGATAGGCTGGGCAGAATTGACATGACAACCCACCCGTGCAGTCAGAACCTTTTGCTGCTGTGACTTGTGATTTGAATTCTCCGGCCGTTGACTTGTAATAAACTACCAGTGTTTGACATCAAAGCTCCAACTCTCCTCGTGTCTCTCTGAGTCCTGACTCTCCATTGCTGCAGAAGTTTCCCTTACATAACGTTTAACTTGTCTAAATCACAATATAACAAAGGTTTAAGTTACATAACAAACCTAATAAACTATGCTACTGTATACTTCTACTCTATTACATTTTAGGCGCCAATATTGTACCTTTTACTCCACTACATTTATTTGACTGCTTTAGTTACGAGTTACGTTATTGGGTTTAGGATATAATCTAATTCGTAATATAAGTCAATTATGAAATACACTTTGACACATATTTATAGGTTAAAATACCCTGCAGTATATAAAGTTTCAAATTAGCTCGACTTTACAAGTTGTGATAAAAAAACATGAATATTCATAACAGTATACCAGTCAGTGTTTCCGCCAGACCAGGGCTGAGAGGGGCGTCTACCCCGAGAGCGGGGGGGTGCTTGAATTTTGACTTGAACCGTCCCTTATAGATACTGTCTTTTTACGTTAGGCGGATCATTTGGCTCGGCTTTCTTAAAGCGCCGGCTGTTTCGGATCCCAAACGGCTCTTCATGTTACCACAGTTTACCACGGAGCCTCAGTTTTGCCGCTGCGAGGCTCTGGTGGTCGCTGCTCACGCGCCTGCTCCACTACCACCGCTCATCGCGTCCAAATCACGCACGTTCCGTGTTGTCCTGTAGCAGGCACCGCCGATGTCGGGGAAACGATCTTCAATACCCCGAAAATAATCCCACCAGACTCCTTTGCCCCTCAGAGGGATGTTCTTTTTCCTTTTCGTTATTTCAAGCGATAAAAACTCTCGATCTTCTCTCGAATTATTAATATTAATAATTCGAGAGAAGATCGAGAGTTTGACGCAAGACGCCCCCCCTGGCGGAAACGCTGATACCAGTAACTCAATATATGTACAATTTTGAAATGGGACATTACGCATAATGAGTACTTTTACTTTCGGTACTTTAAGTATATTTGTATGCCGGTACTTTTACTGAAGTACAATTTTGAATGCAGGGCTTTTACCTTTCGGAAAGTACTTTGAAAATGTAGTTTTGCTCTTAACTCTGAGTACTTCTTCCTCCACTGCTTTTAACCTTAACATAAACCTAATCACGGAGAACTGTCATTGTACTTGCATCACACGCCAAGTACGACCCTATGTCTATCGGACTACTTTTTACGTTGGAATATTACGCAAACATGTACCGAAAGCAGTCAAAAGTAACACCAAAGTGTCCTTATTGTGTACAAATGTGTGTTCGCATTTAATGTCTTAGCGTCCAACTTTAGCGATAGGTCTTGGATGTGTGTAGCCAGTTTATCACGAAGACCGATATAGTTTGTTGTAAAAGTGAAACATTTGTATTATATGTTACTGTCAGTGTTAAAACACTGTAGAGAGAACAGCTGTGATCCACATCCTGTATGGAGAGCGGTGGATTCATCTCCAATCACACATCAGTACTTGAGTCTGAGAGATTAGAGAGTATAGATTACATCAGGATAAAAATAGTCCTCATTTATCCACAGAGACAGATATATCTCTCTATGGTGTTGATAAGCTGAATGACTGTATCGTATCATAGAGATAACTCAGATGTCAATAATTGGTTATTTGATTTTGGTTGATAAACAACAGCTCATGTGTTCATATAGTTCATAAACATGCATTGATTTCAGACGTGGGGTTTGATTGCTGTCACTTATTCCTACATTTCCACCTGTCAATCATTAGAAAAGCAGGAAACCATCAACCTGCCACTCACCCATCCTCCCTTTGAACGCTTGAAGACTAAGAAAAATACTGATTGACAGCTGCCATGCAAAATGATACCCATTGATTTCTTGTTTTCACCAACGATAGCTTTTTTAGGTAAGAGAGAAGGGTTTAAGATAAGAAAAGTGGATTCATATCAAGGTACACAAATTGTTTGTCCAACGCAAGGAAGTTTAAGGAACGTTGAATAATGCATGGACATAAAAACAATCGAATTTAGATATTTATATTGTCTTATATTGGATTATTACATGTTATTGGCTCATTGATCCCAGTTAGCTATTACCTATTCAAACCCTTAGAAAATGATATTACATGTGTTCAGCTTCTGGATTGGTTCAGTTGACTCTTAAGTCAAACAGAACATTTATATTTGTGTGGTCTAATGTGTTAAAACCAAACCTACACCTCACATAAGTTTCACTTTAGACTCAACTTCAACTACATAATACAACTTCCTAAATAGCTCAGAGAAAAGTGTAATTAATTGATTCGGTCAAATAATTAATAGCGCCTCAAATCAGATAATTCATTTTTAAAGCACTTGAGTTCCCAGACTTTGTTTTTCCGAAGTTTGGAGACTCTGCCGGTGGCACTGAGCTGTCAGAGTCTCAGCTGCAAACTTTCTGTCCTTATATAAGGTCTGACAACTCGCTGCAGCTCTTAAAAAGTACCCAGAGAAATGTGCTTACTCGCAGCAAAGTTCCTCCAGTTGTCAGAGGTGGGAGGAAGTGGAGTAAAAATACTTCATTACTGTACTTAAGTATATGTTTCTGGTATCAGTACTTTACTCCACTACTTATTTTCCTGACTACTTTTTACTTCTACTTCTTACATGTTGAACTCAAATACCTGTACTTTCTACTTCTTACATGTTGAACCCAAATACCTGTACTTTCTACTTCTTACATGTTGAACTCAAATACCTGTACTTTCTACTTCTTACATGTTGAACTCAAATACCTGTACTTTCTACTTCTTACATGTTGAATACAAATACCTGTACTTTCTACTTCTTACATGTTGAACACAAATACCTGTACTTTCTACTTCTTACATGTTGAACTCAAATACCTGTACTTTCTACTTCTTACATGTTGAACCCAAATACCTGTACTTTCTACTTCTTACATGTTGAACACAAATACCTGTACTTTCTACTTCTTACATGTTGAACACAAATACCTGTACTTTCTACTTCTTACATGTTGAACTCAAATACCTGTACTTTCTACTTCTCACATGTTGAACACAAATACCTGTACTTTCTACTTCTCACATGTTGAACACAAATACCTGTACTTTCTACTTCTCACATGTTGAACTCAAATACCTGTACTTTCTACTTCTTACATGTTGAACACAAATACCTGTACTTTCTACTTCTTACATGTTGAACTCAAATACCTGTACTTTCTACTTCTCACATGTTGAACACAAATACCTGTACTTTCTACTTCTCACATGTTGAACACAAATACCTGTACTTTCTACTTCTTACATGTTGAACCCAAATACCTGTACTTTCTACTTCTTACATGTTGAACCCAAATACCTGTACTTTCTACTTCTTACATGTTGAACACAAATACCTGTACTTTCTACTTCTCACATGTTGAACTCAAATACCTGTACTTTCTACTTCTCACATGTTGAACTCAAATACCTGTACTTTCTACTTCTTACATGTTGAACTCAAATACCTGTACTTTCTACTTCTTACATGTTGAACTCAAATACCTGTACTTTCTACTTCTTACATGTTGAACTCAAATACCTGTACTTTCTACTTCTTACATGTTGAACCCAAATACCTGTACTTTCTACTTCTCTCATGTTGAACTCAAATACCTGTACTTTCTACTTCTTACATGTTGAACTCAAATACCTGTACTTTCTACTTCTTACATGTTGAACTCAAATACCTGTACTTTCTACTTCTCTCATTTCCCAAACAGCTGGTTCCTTTAGTCTGAATGTGTGTTTGATGCGTGATCATTATTCTTTAGAGTCATTGCGTGCCTATTGATTTGAACACGATCCGTGTATCCATAATTTCCTGGTCTTCTCTAAAGAAGAGGGACCAATGGAAACGTTGTCATGTTGCCGTTGTTCAGCATGGAAACATTCATTAGCTAACAATGACATTATTGTTCTATTAATATAAAGGGAGGTCAGGTACTCTTTAAAGCAGCTGCTAGTTATGGGTACTTTTTACTGAAGGACACTTCAAAGCCTCTTTACTTTTACTTGAGTAAAGAAGTTTAGTCAGTACTTCTACTTTCACCAGAGCATTTTTAAACACGAGTATCTGTTCTTCTACTTGAGTAAAGCATGTGTACTTTTGCCATCTCTGGTGACGATGAAGTCATTGTTGTCTCTAATCCTTTGTTAATCCTTTCTTCTCCTCCAGCTGTTCGAAACGACCGCAATAAGAAGAAGAAGGAGAGTCCGAAGCCGGAGCTGACGGAGAGTTACGAGCTGACGGCCGAGCTGGAAACCATCATCGAGAAGATCAGAAAGGCCCATCAGGAAACCTTCCCCTCCCTCTGCCAGCTGGGCAAATACACCACGGTGAGTTCAGGGACCTGAGTCATAAACATGTTAGAGCAGGGGGGTCAAAGTCCTCTCAGTTCAGGGGTCAAATTTGAGCGCAAGTGGGCCGGACCAGTAAAATCCAAGCATAATAATCTAGAAATAACCACGACTTCAAATGGTTGCCTTTGTTTTAGTGCATAAAAGTATGTTCTGTATCTATCTTTTGACAAAACATTATGAACAAGTCAAAGTCAACTTTTTTGTCAATCTTTCAGTTTGTGTGTACTGACAGAGAGACCGAAATACCGTTTCCCACAATCCAGAGGTATACAAAATACAAATATATATAAAATATGTATACAAATATGTATATATACATAATCAAAAGACACATGTACTGTATACATATGCACACATTAAAGTCATAAATAAAAGCACAACAATCAATATATACAAAATAACAGCCACTTCAAAATCTGTGAAAAACAACCAAGAAAATCAAGTGCAATTTCAACAGTTAGTGCCATGTACATGTTCGAATTGATTTATTTGAAGCTCCAACCACCGGAATTCGTTATGATAGTTAAGAAAACTCTCCTGGAGAATTTTATTCAAATTCCAACAACATTTACCCCCCCCCATCAACCTTGAAGTTTAGCCTCAAATTGAAAGTGGGAAAGTCTAATCTTCATCCCCCAGAATTCATTCTATTAGTCAAGAAAACTCTCCTGGTGAATGTTTTCCTCAATCTGACAACATCACCCCACCCCCCCCCCCCCCCCCATCGAGCTGGGCTGCCACACCAGCAGCTGCAACTGAGGCTACACTTCCAGCTCGATGAGGGGGGGGGGTACATGTTGTCAGATTGAGGAAAACATTCACCAGGAGAGTCTTCTTGACTAATAGAATGAATTCTGGGGGATGAAGATTAGACTTTCCCACTTTCAATTTGAAGGACCACCCTCATTCACACATTACATCAGATCACAGTGTATCTACAGACACATGTAGTCGGAGGTATCTGGAACTGAACTATCTGGTATTTTACTGTGTGATTTATTTGTCTGATCATTTCCACATCTGTGTAGTAATCCTCACACACCACAAAGTGGAAGCCATTAAGGAAGAAGTTATCCGCCTGCCTGTAAATATATTACTTTGTACGTAAAAAATACATATAAGTTCAATCCAATCCAACTTTATTTATATAGCACTTTAAAACCTTCAGACCAAAGTGCTGGACAGAGAGATCAGCTCACACAACATAAAATAAATACATTAAACAAAACAAACCAGAATAAACGTAAAAATAATAAAAAACAGCCATATGATAAAAACAATAGACCACTGAAAGCAAATAAAAGCAATAATCTACTTGTTTACGAATGCTAAGGAGAAGAGGTGGGTTTTAAGACAGGATTTAAAAGCAGACAGTGGGAGCCTGTCTGATTAACAAGGGCCGGTCGTTCCACAGTGCGTGAACTATATATAGGGCTCGACCAAACCATCTCTTGTTGCACTCAAGCTGCTGACTCACAGTATATTGAACATTGAACAAAGTATGTTTGACAGCCTGCGTTAGAGCTTTCACCTGATCGACCAATATCTCTGCCTTTTGATCCGAACTACCCGCAGAGTGCAGAGCTCATAATGATAATCAATACGAGTTCTGTACTCTCCTCTGCCAGGTAAATCCTCAACACCACCACTTCTCCTTCTTCTCCTCTCAAGAGCCACTCATTACGTGTGATGGAAAGCCTGTAGAAAGCATGAGTCACACAGTAATAACATCGTGCGGTGAACTCATCGCCGCTTCCAGCTGTCTCTGGTGAGCTGGATCTGATGATGGTTGCAGGGTTTGTTTGCCCCAGATTTGAGATTTGGCACAAGGGAGAGGAGGATTTAAAAAGAGAGAAGTCTAGACTGGAAGACGTTGCAGCCGAAGGGAAACATTCTCCCAGACAGGAAGCAGATCTTCAGCCAACTGCAGCGTCTGGCTCTGTGGTGATGCTCGAATGAACGGACTAACGTTTTTGAGTTGTGTGAGTTCTCGTGAATCCTTAACTTTACCCACTCTCTGCTGTCTGTGTTTTTGTCAATGTATAGAACATGTCAGAAACAAAAACATACAACAATAATATATATATATATTCTCTTTTTCCTTTTTTTTCTCACTCAAATTAATAATTATAACAAAGTACAAAAAACAAATAATAACAAAAACAAAAGCAATAATAATTCTCAGGTAGTCTGTCATGTTCAACAGGGGCAAGAAGAAGCTTAACAACACTGTTCTGGCCCCCCCCCCCCCCCTCTAGCATATATCTTTCTTATAAATAAAACATTAGGTCATCAGCGACATGTTTGTCATGTTGGGACGGGTGGCGCAGTGGTCTGTGCGTTTGATCATCAGATTAAGGGGCGTTGGGGAACTCCAGTTCGAAACCCGCTCCCGCCCCACACACACTTCACCCGGATGTGCTCCTGTGGGTATCGTCCACAGTAGATGACCATTACATGTATGATCTGTATGTGTAATGTGTATTTGTAAAGCGCTTTGAGAGTCTTTGATAAAGCGCTATAATAAATATAAGGATTATTATTATTATTATTATTTGTTTGCTTTTAGTTTTTTTACAAAACAATCAGAAAGACTTTTACAATTACAAGAAATAACAACAAATGGGATTCACAGGTCCTGTTCATAACCATTCATGATGTGGCTCCTAAATAATACTTTCAGTTTAGACTCGTACAATATCTCAGTGCATCGCTGCAGTTGTTCCACAGACTAACCTTTGGATGAGATGCAGAAGGCATTTGTTCGTACGGGTGGTTTTTTGAAAATGCAGTTTCCTCTCATGCTTTCTCTCCGTGTGAAAAGTCCCTGGATGTTATGAGGTCATTGTTGATTTGCGGCTCTGAACATCATTTGAATAGTTTTATAGTCAACCAGGTTTTGTAGTTTTAGTGTTTTTAGCTTGATGAATAATTTATTTGTTGGTTCTCTGTACGTAGTTTGATGTATACCTCGTACGGCTGTTACTCTGCATTGGGAGGACAGCGTTTGACGAATGATTAAAGATCGTACAGTTCGCCTTCACTTGTTCTTCCAGGTGAGATGCAGACAGATTCATCCTGAGCTCTAAAACAAGAGGCATTTTGAATCAAAGCTTGAGAGACTAGCCTGTTTATCTACATGGATGTAAGCTTATACATAACGACTGATATTCACACATTCTCACGGTGGATTTCTTGGAGGTTAACATTTGACAAACAATACAGTTTACAAGAGTCTTGTTCTGCTTGGTATCCTAGCGAGATGCAGATTCACACAATCCTGAGCTTAAAAATAACAACTGATATTCACACATTCTCACGGTTGATTTCTTGGAGGTTAACATTTGACAAACAAAGCGTACAGTTCGCCTTTACAAGAGTCTGTCCTGCCAGGAGATCCTAGCGAGATGCAGATTCACACAATCCTGAGGTCAAATAATTGTCTCGTTACGAATCAAAGCATTCAATAAACTGGGCATTGTGTCTTTATTAATGTACACAAATACACAATGACTGGTAATGCATTGCAGGCAACTTTTATGGGGTGGGCATAACGAGCGGTCGAACATGCATGTACTAAAACTAACTCCATATTATTCCTCAACAGGTAACATTAACAGCAAGGAGCAGTTACTTTGAGTCCGCACATCACTGCAGGACAGTGGATTAAAAGCAGCTAATCCAATCAGCCTGTGTTTGTGTTTTTATGAATCAAAGCGTACGGGAAAAAGATCTGAGCAATTTATCGATATTGAACCAATATCTTGACATGAGGCTCAATATCGCCCTGGAGTTTGGATGTCATTAACTCCTTATCGATGTAATGTTCTGGACTTACAGACTGTTCTAGCTGTGTTAGTTATACTTCTTCACCTTTCCGTCAGACAGCCTTTCTTTGTCTATCTGCTCTCTAAAGCCACCAGACTCCACTGAGCCATTTCCCCGCTGCAGAACACAAACGTGTTGCTTTGTGTGTGTTATTGTTTGACTCTGTGAATTCAAACTAACTAACCCTTTAGTCAAACAAAGACAAAGGCTGCTGGGCTAGTTATGCATGATGTAAGACAGGGCAATACATTCATATTATATCGATATTGTGATTGTAATATCCCACATGTGTCTTCTCCTGGTTTTTAACGCTCTATTGCTGCAAAATGATGGATTATCTGAGCTTACCAGTCATTTTATCCATATTACCATTGATTCTTCATCCAAAATGTCTTTGTATTTGGTGAAAGCTCAACAGTCAGCACTTCAATATCATTGCAACATGGATTTTAGGATATCTGATAAGAAAATCTTATATAACATTATATTTGTCTCTATATAGTCCTGAAGGATTGGGTGTGTGTGTGTGTGTGTGTGTGTGTGTGTGTGTGTGTGTGTGTGTGTGTGTGTGTGTGTGTGTGTATGTGTGTGTGTGTGTGTGTGTGTGTGTGTGTGTGTGTGTGTGTGTGTGTGTGTGTGTGTGTGTGTGTGTGTGTGTGTTGTGTGTGTGTGTGTGTGTGTGTGGTGTGTGTGTGTGTGTGTGTGTGTGTGTGTGTGTGTGGCCTAGCATTACTATACTTGTGGGGACCTACATCTGTTTACACAGTCACATGTGGGGACTCGCCTCCCTTATGGGGACAAATTGGAGGTCCCCATAAAGGGAATCATTAATTTTAGGGTGAAGACTTGGTTAGGGTTAGGGTTAGGGTTAGGGTTAGGGTTAGGCATGTGTTGGTTATGGTTAAGGTTAGGATAAGTCTCCAGGAAATGCATGTATGTCAATGTAATGTCCCCCTGAAGTGATGTATACATGGTATGTGTGTGTGTGTGTGTGTGTGTGTGTGTGTGTGTGTGTGTGTGTGTGTGTGTGTGTGTGTGTGTGTGTGTGTGTGTGTGTGTGTGTGTGTGTGTGTGTGTGTGTGTGTGTGTGTGTGTGTGTGTGTGTGTGTGTGTGTGTGTGAGGGCTTTATTATCCCTGTCATCTCCAAACGTCATGCTAGAGAGAT